CCCGCTGTTGGTTGTCTGGCCTAGCTTGTGACTTGCGCCAGCTTTGAAGGCGGCCGAGCTCAACCGCGGCCAGCGCGGCGCAGATGGCGTGGAGTGTGTCTGCGAATGGCTCTGGTTGCGCGTGAAGATCAAAGCGAGCCCCAGCCCATGGAACGATTCCGATGCCGTGGCGAGGCGCACGCGAACAAACCAATTTATATGGACCGATTTGCAGTCCCTTTCCAATAGATCCTCTTCACCGGTCTGACCATTCCCCTTTCCAAGGCCGGTCCATCAACGATGGACGTGCCACGCCGACGGGCTTCACACCTTCTGGCTGTGGTTGATTCAAGACAGGTCTCAGATTTTAACCGCCGTCGCATTTCCTGGTACGGGCTTGTTAGCAAGCTACTTGTCATTGTAGCGTGTGACGTTTAACTTTGGTTCCCCAGTTCCATGGTCCAGCCTAAGGGTGATAAAATTACGACTAAAGTATGAAAAGTACATAGAAGTACGACGGGAACATCAATTTCCCCAGTGGTATTTTTAAGAATACATTTTTGACTTGTGTCTTTTCAAAAATGCAGCCCTTGCTTTTGTTTTGCCACAACTCACAAAGATAGCAAACTCGCGAAAATGCTAGAAAAAATATAGAAGGACAACGTGATTCAAAATTCAATTACCTTGGTTGGTGCTATTTGCATTGTGGCCCTCATCTGAGTATGCCGTTTGGGAACCAGGGCCAGTTAGGTGTATTTCAAGGCTGTATTTTTCAATTTTGTTTTGTTGGGTTCGTAGCCTCTACCTGAAATGCGGGGATTGAAGTTCAACTGTTTCCGCATATTTTCGTAGAATGAGCATATGGTCCTTTTTTCTCTTCTTCATATGGCCCTTTAATCTTCATATTGTGTCTGCATGTTGGAGATAAAACCCCTCAGTTTTCATTCAGAAAAATGAGACGAATGCAACACACTTATGATTCTTAAGATAATTCTTTACAATCGGGCTTTTCTACCATTCACCATGTTTCGAAAGTTCGCCCAGGTGGCCGAACAGTTCTCCTGCATGGGGGTGTCGACACAACATTTTTTTGCCAAAAACACAACTTCACATTGCACGAGGAAGCGCGGCGTCATGGTGAACCGCCCCTTCGGCGAGAAATCACAACAGCTTCACAATCGACACGCGCGCAGCGATTTTGAGACCAAGACCCAGGATGGGGCGGGGGTCCAACATATTGAGAATTGTGATAATGGGACCGAGAGAATCCGCGCCAGTGGCTTATTCAACACAAGTTTCCTTCGAGTTTGGATCCGTTTCAAAGGTACCCACACTGCATTTCAGGTCCTGAGCTAGATCCATTTCTTCGAAGATTGGTCTGCTGAATTTTTGCCTGTTTGAATTGCGTAGCTTTCAATTTGCGTTGAGGTTCCATTTGGTGCTTGAACATACTTTTTCTGGAAGAAACACTTCCAAGATTCAAAACCACTGTGTCAAGGACCCCAACCAATTGGTGAATCTTTTTGAATCCTTCTCTTGGGGTCTGACTGGTGGGTCCCTAGGATCGCGGACACATCCCCTCGCTCAAGCTTGGCTGTGATGCGCAGGACAAACTTGAGGCAGCATGAGCTTTCATCGGTGCTGCGGTCTGCCTTTTCTTGATGCTCTTTGGTAGGGGCGACCTCACCCACCGGGAGCACGACAGGTTGGTCCTGTTTTCAAGGGCCACCTGCGCCGGCAGAAACAGTGGAAAAGCAGATGCCTCTGCGCCTGCAGCCTGCAGATGAGGGACTCAGAGTTCACATTTGGCCTTCCAAGATCTTTCCAGCTTAACCCGAGGCACCTGGATATCCACAGCCACAGACGCCTGTAAGTCTAGAGTCTAGAGCACATCATTTCCCACTCTGTGCCACTTTAGTCCTGGTCACAACAACATGTTCTCTCTGGAGGTGGGTCAGATATGACACCATCTGATTTTGACTCCCAGGCCGGCATGAGCCTGGAGGCGGCCGACAGGAGGCCTGCGTGGATTTGCAGATTGGGCGGCGAGCTCAATGAGTTTGAGATGGTTCTTTAAGCTTTCTCTCGATATCAACCCCGCAACACAGACTTGCTGCAGACACACAGTGGTTTTTTGAGCATGTTCCACTCTAGAGTTACAGCTTGCAGTTTGCGTCTTCTGACGCACTTGGTCGAAAGACTAGAAAAGACGCCATTGGTTTCGTGGTCCATTTGGCGATTCAAAGAGTCCCAGACCAAACAGTGTAGGTTCCCCAAACCAACTTCGCCCTCCTTGTGTTTGTGGGAACATCACCTTCTTCTAAGATGGCCTCGTCTTACAGCGTGAAGTGGGCCGTGTTGGTTTGGGCTGGTCAGTCAATGCCCAGCAACTGCAGCGGCCAAAGACGCCGGCTTGGAATGCTGATGGCTTAATTGTGTCGCCAGCACGAACAAAATGCTGGCATTCAGATGGGGTCCAGGGTGATTTTTCCGTTGTCTTGGTGTCCAGTTAACATGAGCCTTCGCAGGGAGCTGATAGCTCGCCATCCTTGAACTGCAAAATCCTTTAAACTCTGTTCGATGGTCCGGACATCGAATCCCGCTGATCTTCTTCAAATAACAGGTTCTCAAGCCGTCTGCACGCTCACTGGGATCAAGCGCATGGCTTCTCGCTCTAGATCCACTGCCACAAAAGCTCACCACCGATGAATTCATCCAGTTTCATCATCGCACCATCGCCGAGTTACCCTCCACTGACCTGCATGGACCTGCCTGTGATCATGTCATAAATCCTGAGCCAAGCAGACACAGACAGTCTCACCTGCCTTGGCTGGCCCTTCCTTCTTCGCTGGAGCCGTAGTACACGGCTCACCGCCCGCGCGTTAGGCAGGGGTTGCGGGAGGGGTTTGGAGGGAGAGAAGGAGCTGGCGATATCATGCAACATCCATACTTCTTTCAACGGGGGAGCAAAGGAGTTCCGGCGAGTCCTCCAAGCCTTTGCTATTGCTTTCTGTCATTTTGCACCTTAGATGTTTGGTGAACACAGAGAGAGGAGAGAGAGAGAGAGAGTTCTTGAGTTGAAACCGCAGTGCCTAGCTGATCTTCCAAATGCAAACACCGCCCAAGCAGGTCTGTTCAAGGTCCTACGTGTACATGGAAGGTGTTTTGAGTCCATGTCAATCGGACTGGCTGGGGGTGCTTGTGAAGAAGACTCACTTCGAGGCACCTGAAATCCGATGATCTAGAGATAGGATTTCATTCTATTCCATATCCTTGCCAAACACCTGGTCTTCCAAGAGGTCTGGTGTGTCATCTCAAGGTGCTTTGGCCCAACGCCGGGCCGCCCCAGGCCAACCGCGCGCGGGCGATGGCGGGGAAGTCTTTGGCCGAGCGGCGGGCTTTGGCCGGCGGCGGCTTCAGCGCGTTGAAGGTGGAGAAGGCGTTGGTCTTTTGCGCGGTCGCAGCAGTGGGTCAGTGGGTTGGGAGGAAGGGGAGGAAGGGGGGTTCGGAAGTTGTTTGAGTATTGTAGATAAGCTTGATGGGCCACTGTGCTGTCATACATAGTCATGCATCCTCAGTGCTTTGGGGGTTTTGAGTCAAGCTTTGCCTAGACTCCTAGACGGATTCTGGCGATTCTAGGGTGGTTTTAGGAGCTTTCAGGATCTTGCACGATGCTCAAATCGAGCTTTCAGGTTCTCTTCTCGACGTTTGTCCACCAAGTCGTTCAAGACGTTTGTTCTCACAAAAGCTCTTCCTCTTCGGAGTCTGACACCTGGACCATCCTGATGGCTCCACATGGCTCCAGTGGCTCCACGGCCGTCGTGGGGGGGGATTCGATCGCCTCAGGCGCCGCAGATCAATGTGGCCGGCAACCGGACGATCAGGACCCAGCTGCGATTTGGACATTCAACATCATTCAACTCACCATGGTTTGTTGATTCATGGCTTGGTTGCTTGGTTGCTGGTTTGCTTGGTTGCTGGCTGGCTGGCTTGCTTGCTTGGTTTGCTTGCACTCTTCACTCTTCGGTTGGGTCGTGCGGATGCTGGACCCCTCTCTACAAGTTTTGGATACTACGATGCAAGTGAAATTCACGAGCTTCATGACACGTGACGGACCCCCTCGCACCAGCTTCTCCATTCTGTGGCCCCTTACTCCCAAGTTGGCCACTGAGCCTTACGCTTTGTTTCGCCCTCAGAAAAGCGCGCGCGATGGGCATGGCTGTGTTTTAGGTCGATCGAGCCGACCGCACAAATCGAGAAGTTGCTACCGCACGAACTTTGTCGTGTTGGTAGCGGAGCCCCTACGGGGGCTCCGTGAGAGAAAGGTGACAGATGGCCGAGGACGCTGCTTCAGGTTTCGATCTCGATCACACTCCTGCACAATCCTCAGAGCCCTGGACACCTCCCTCACAGAGCCTAGACGATCCAGGACCTCGCTGGCAGTGCACCAGATGCTACCATGATAGGTTTGTTTACTCTGCAGCCCTTGATAGCTGGCGTTGCGTGCAGTGTGGAAGCTTTGAGTATGAAAGTGTTTCATCTAGTTCGTACAGCTGGACCTTTCATCCTGACCCGCCTGAGCCTCCACCTTCATCGACTCCACCAAGGACGCTGTCCTCACCGAGTACGCCTTCGTGGACCCCAGCTCGAGACGATTCCGATCGTCATGCATGGGACTTCGGACCTCCCGACGATTGGTCCGAGGCACACGAAGCAGGTTCCGAGAGCCTGATGACAAACGACCCTGAGGTCGATCCAGAAACCTTGGAGCCTGTGCCACAGAAGAAGAGTCGGCGACAACGCCGTGCAGAACGAAGGGGTGATAAACAACCACCTGATCCTCCAGTACGCCCTGGTCCTCACCTACCTGTTGGTTCCACCAGAGCTCAAGGCCTCCAAGTATCTCCTGCTCCTCAAGTATCACACAGTGTTCAAGTATCACCTGGTCCCCTCGTACCACGAAGTGGCAAAGGAGTTGGATCTGGAGCAGGCAGTGCTGGCCATAGGCCCTTCGCAGGCCCTGACCTGCCACCTGATGGTGGCGATGGTGGAGGAGGACCTTCTTCAAGCAGCAGCTCGCATTGGAACTCCCGCAAAGGGCCGGAGCCGGGAGTGAAGTATCGTGGAGGCACACCTCCGAGCCCTCCTTCCTGGTCCTACAGCCGTGAAGATCTTCGAGCGTTCACCAAATGGGAGCGCAAGGTCCGCGTATGGCAGGTACAGATCAAATCGTACCTACCTGCCAACGAAGCTGCCATGGCCCTGTATGTGAGCCTCCGAGGGGAGGCGGAAGAAGAACTGGAGCATGCAGATTTGTCCTTGATCAACCACAAGGACGGCATCGACTTCATCTTGGACTCTCTGCGCACCCCGTTGATGACTCGTGCAATCTATTTGAAGCGTCGTTATTTGTCGGAGTTCGAACAGCTGAACCGTTTCTCTGGCGAGACGATCAGGAGCTTCTGCAATCGGTATGCTCGCACCGAGCGGAACCTGAGATCTGTCCAGATCAACATCGAGTCCATGTACGATGTGGAAAGCAGAGGCAGCCGCCTCATGGATAGAATGCGAATTTCCTTGGACCAGCAGCGACTTCTGTTGACCGCCGCTGGCAATGACCTTGATGTGCGCAAGGTGAGAGAAGCTGCAATCATCCAGTTCCCCGACCACAGGCCGACACCACCTGTCGTGTTCAGCCGAGAGTTCGACTTTGGGCGAGATCGCGATCGAGGTGGTGATGATCGTACAACACATCCCAAGGGAAAAGGAAAAGGCAGCCACAAAGGCAAGAATAGACCTCGTCAGACCTATGTCACTGAGTATGTCAAGAGCATCCCAGAGGACGACGAAGAGGCAGCCGAGCCCTCAGATGCAGAGCCATTCGATGGTGAAGAAGCTGCCGACGAAGATGCACAAGAGTTCAATGACGAGGAAGAAGCCTTGGAAGACCCTGAACAAGGCGAAGAAGATGAGGACGGCCTACAAGAGGTGATCCAATGCCTCACAGTGACGGCCCGTCGACTTCAGGGCCTCACCCTTGGCCGGAAGTACACCGGCAAACGATCCATCCAGGATCGGAAGAGAACCAGTCACTGCGCCGTATGCGGTGAGCCTGGGCACTGGAAAGGCGATCCAGAATGTCAAGGAGCACCACCGCCCAATGCACAGAAGGCTTCATCAGCCGCACCTCCCAAAGGTTCTGGCAAAGCCAAGACCAAGTCGAAAGACGCCACGAAGAGCGCCAACAGCAAAAAGGTGTATGCGGTGAAGTTTGCGGATGGTGTGACAAAAGAAGAAACCTGTTTGGAGCCTCATGAAGAATCTCATCAACAAGAGCTTTTCGGGACATACTTCACTTTTGTCACAGCATCCTCGTCTCCATGCAGGGCACCTTCAACCAACGTTCCCCAGGTTTTGATGTCCAACCTCGCCAGTTACAATGGGTATATGGTTTTAGATACTGCATGTCAGCGTACTTGCTGCTCCTCATCATGGCTCGAACTGCACACCAAAACCCTCAGCAAGCACCGGTTGAAGCTGAAGGAACAAGACGAGTCAGAAGCTTTCCAATTCGGTCATGGTGAGCCACAATACAGCTTCAAGCATGCCTATATCCCCGCCGGGTTGAACCACACACCTGAGGGTCTTTGTTTGGTTGGTACCAGCGTCCTGCGCACCAATGACAACAACAAGATCCCCTTGCTGGCTAGTAACAACCTGCTCACACACCGGCTTGAGGCGATCATCGATCTTCCAAGCCAGCAGCTCGTATGCCAGGCGCTTGGGTGTACGATTCCGATCGTTCAGGTTGATGGTCATTTGGCAGTGCGCATTGATTTGTTTCCTGCACAAGTTCACACCTCACATGTTTGGAAGCAGTTGAGTCAAGAGGACGTTTGGCAAGATCCAGATTCTGAGTTGATCCTTTGTTCGCAGCAATCTGCGGCCATCAAGGATTTTGACCTTCAGGCCTCAACCTCCAATGCCTCGGCAAGCTCCTCCTCCTTGGTTGCAAGCATGGCGGCGGCTAGCCCTGGCATTCATCGACTTCGAGATCACCCTGGTGAGGTTCATGCTGCGCTGCACGAACTTGGGTATCCGTCCAAGGGGATGGATTGCGCACCAGGATCCTATGAATGTGGACACGTTCCAGAGCCTGCAAGACATTGCCATGCAGCCCTGCAAGCATCCGGCACAGATGATTCAACGAAGCGGCAACAAGCACGGCCGGTATGCAAAGTGTCGGGACTGCGGCATGAAGTGGACATGGAACGAGAAAAAGCAGGCATGGGACGAAGCACCTTTCGGAAAACCCTTGTCGCTGCCATTGCCCTCTTCGGAGAACTCATCGGTGGTTATGATGCCATCTTCAACAGCAGAGGCACGAGCAGTGGCGGACAAGCCACCGATTCCACTGACGAGCACATCGGCGTCCTCAAGTATGGTACCACTGGGACCTCCTTTGATGGCACCTCGGGCCAAATCCAAGACCCAGTACTTCAACATCAGCAAGATGGCCAGTCGACGTCGCAGTTCATGCCCCAAGAGGAGGAGGACTCCGAGCTATTCCAGACACCCGAGAAGGAGCAGTTAGTAGAGGAGGACTCAGTGGACGAGTACGCATGGGATCTGATATGAAGAAAGGCAGCTACACGTGGCTCACCGGACACCTTCGGCATCACCAACGTCTCTACGAGAATGAGGTGGCCACGTATGACAAAATTCCTGCCTATATCAACATTGTAAAGTATGACTCGAAGATCGACCTGTTGGAACTCTTTTCAGGTGCAGCGCGTTTGACATCGACTGCATTCCATTTTGGCCTCAACGCCATCCAGCCCTTCGATCTTCGAGAAGGAATTGACCTGTCATCGGAAGCAGGTCGGAAGTTGGCAAAGCATGTGTTGCAGCACCACAAGCCCCTTCTTTTGCACGTGGCGTGGCCATGTCGCCTTTGGAGCTTGTTCAACGAGAACATGAACTGGTCGCATCGCTTGCATGAGTTGGAAGCCCTTCGTGATGAAGAGCGAGAACTGGTGCGCTTCACTGTCGGCCTTTGCAAAGAACAACATGCTCAGGGGAGGCTTTTCTTGGGTGAGAATGTGTTGAGATCAAGGCTTTGGCAAGAGCCTGACATCCTTTCCTTGGCAGAGCTCGACAATGTGAGCGCCAGCGTATGTGATGCCGGTGCATATGGAGCTGAAACTACCGATGGCTTCCCTATGATCAAGGCCCATCGATGGATCTCCGACTCGCCGACCATTTTGGCAGAGCTGAGTCAAAAGTTGACACCAGAGCAAAAGATGTACACCAAACCCATCGAGGGCAAGGACACAAGCCACAGCGGAGAATACTGCCAAGGACTCGTGAATGCAATTCTCCGCGGACTACAACGCGAAGCTCGACTGAGGAATCCTGCTCGTTTCCAAGTTGCCAAGGATGCTTTCTTTGTACGACCTCTGGCAGATGAGCAGCGTTGGCGCGCCGTCCTTGACACTTTGGACAAGCGCTTTGAGAACACCTACACCCGCGCCTTCGACCTGAACAAGAGCGACCCCATCTACACAGAGCTGATGAACCTCATCCCATGGCATCTTGAGAAAGTTCAAGTGGCTGTGACACCAGCCGCACGACGTTGGCCTGCTTTCAAGATTCCCTTCACTCATCGTGGAGCAGCTCTCAAGATGGCAGATGGCAAGATCATTGTCGAAGCAGAAGATTTGGCAGCTGTCAACTATCCACAGCAGAGGTTCGCACAGCCTGTTCGACTGGGCATTTTCTTCTTTGGTAACGCCCCTGAGGATGAAGAGATGCCTTCAACGGAGTCGCCGCCTGACTCTGGAGAATCGGTTTGGTCCAAAACCGACCTTTCAGCCACTCGACTGCAGACCACTAAGCGTGGAGGACCTGCCTGGCACACAGTGACCAGGCGTGTGACAAAGGACAAGAACACCGGCGAGTTGATCCAAGATCTTCGAGATCCTATGAACCAACCAGACCGCCTCGTTCACAAGAAGCTCAAGAAGGCCACCGACATTGAGACCTTCTTCTACCACCAACCTCCAGCCGAGGAGGCAGAGATGGCTGAAAACCCAGGAGCTGCGGAAGATGGACCGGACGCGGAGGAGGCGTGCGGTTTTCCTTCCAGCACCCTGGTACCAAACATGAAGACAGATATTTGGTTTGAGAACCCTCCACCTGGCTTGACCTCATCCATGAAGGCTTCTGTGGCAAGATTACATTGCAATTTGGGTCATGCTCCAAAGGAGGAAGTGGCACGGCTACTGGCAGCTTCGAATTCATTGTCACCCAAGCTTTTGTCCGCTTTGGATGCTTTGCGGTGTGGGAGCTGCATCAGAACAGGCCGGCCCAAGAGACCAACTACTTCGTCTACCAGCACCGTCTACGCCGGCTTCTTTGGAGAAGTGCTTCAGGCGGACATCGTCTACCACCGACTCCTCACTGGCGAGACCATTCCGGTGCTTGGCGTGGTTTGTGAAGCCACGAACTACCATGCGGCCAAAGCTTTGGCCAATCGCCTTCCGGCGACAATGCTGGAAGCACTGATTGAGATCTGGTACCGGCCACTTGGACTACCTCATCGGTTCAGGTGCGATCCGGATGGAGCATTTCAAGGTGAAGTTGCAAGATGGCATGCCACTCACGGCATCATGCACGAGATTGTGCCGGCCGAGATGCACAACCGGATCGGCAAGATAGAACGTCGGAACGCTCTTCTTCGCACTTTGTTGGAGCGTTTGACCGATGAACATGCCTGCCACACTGTGGACCACCTACAGCATCTCATTGTGGCGGCCTTGTACTCCCTCAATGCTTGCACCTACACCTACGGCCGCAGTCCATTTCAGGCCGTGTTCGGCAAGATTCCAAGGCCTCTGGGCGATGTGGTGAGTGATGAACTCGTTTTGGTTTACTCGCCCGATGACATCGAGCGGACCTACAAGCCCGAGATCCTGAGAGCAGATGCTTTGAAGATTCTGGCTGAAACGAGTGCAAGCCAGGCCATGAAGAGAGCATTGCTTCGCAAAACTCGGCACACTCAGGACCTCAGCTCACTACAGCCTGGACAGACAGTGGCATACTGGCGCTGGAGTGGCGAAGCTCGCCAACTCAAGCGTGGCTCTTGGAACTTGGCTAGGTTTTTGGCCTATGATCCTGACCGACGCAGCTGCTGGATTCAAGTGAATGCGCACACCTTGAAGGTGGCTGTGAGCCAATTGCGAGTGGCTAGCGGCTGGGAGACCTGGTCGCCCTCAGCGGAAGATGTGAAGTTCCTCAAGGACGCGGAGAAGAACCTTCGTGATGGTTTGTGGAAAGATTCAATTGAAGGTCCACCAGGCGAGCATGAAGAGCAGTTCGCTGATGAGGCCACAATGGAAGAAGTTCGACAGTTGGCGCCTGAGACGCTTCCCAGAAGCCGCGACTACTGGCAGCTCACCGACGCAGGTGCCGTGCGAGTACATGTTGAACCTCGGCATGAACTTTATGTTCCACAACCACAAGATGAATGTCCTCTGCCCCTCGACACCTTGGCAGACGACAGACAGACCTACATCCACGACCTTGAAGAGCAGCCTGAGATCGACCAGTAGCGTGATGAGAGATCTGCAAAGTTCTACGAGCAGCCTTGGACAGGCACCGCAACATTTTTCCGGAAGCGATTGCCCGTTGAAGTGGCCAGCCCTGAAGTACCTGCTGAAGGCACAATGCTTCCATCGACGGCTTTACCACCAACAGGTCTTCGTCTTCCAGTACCTCAACGATCTGAAGACCGTGCTGCTGTCAGCCCTCAAGTGATTCAGCAGCAACAGCAGAACTATGACCAGCGACGGGTCACCATCAATGTGAGTTCGCCAACATACCAACAGTTTGGCGCGCCCGCGACACCAATGCCTCCAACTCCAAGAAGGAGAATCGCCAGATCCCGTTCACCAGCACCAAGAGTCAAGCTCACGCTTGAACAACCAGCTACACCGGCACCAGCTGAACAATCAGCTCTCAGAGATGCAGATGAAAAACAAAGACCAGCATCTGCGCCTCTCACACCTGCAGCAGGAGAAGCAACCGAAAACAGTGGAAACACCCCGGCTCCAGAGCAAGCCACAGCTTCAGCAAGCGCCGGTCAAGGAGATGGTATGCCCACTGAAGCACTCCTGCCCGACATGCCGGCCAAAAGGCCCTTTGACGCTATGCTGGCGTCGGTGATGTTCACGCACCGATGGGACATCTTCGACGACAACACCATGTGCCTGAAGTTCCCAGGCTTTGACGGAAGCCCTGACACTGTTGGCTTCCACAGATCACAGATCTACATGACTTTCTACCTCAACAGCGTCCAGCGGGAGCAAGAGGTGAAAGATGGAGACCCCAAAGTCTCCGATGCTGAGACCTCTGATGATGAGCAGTTGACCCTCAGCAATGTCAAGGTGAGAACCCGCCAAGAGCAGAAGCAATATGAAAAGGAGATCCCATGGCGTTCCATCATGCTGATGGATAAGATGACCATCGACAAGTACATCCTTGCCATTCAGAAGGAGTTCGATGGCTGGCAGCGATGGTCCGGAGTGCAACCCGTACCCTCCGATGAAGCTGAACGGATCTTCAAAGACCGCATTTTGCGGCGACGAGTGCTGCGCTCTCGCGTGGCATACCGCGACAAGAACCGCGGTATCGGCACCCTGGCTGCTAAGGCTCGATGTGTTTTGATCGGCTGCGCAGATCCTGACATCACCTCCCTGAGTAGAGATTCACCAACACCTTCACGGACCTCCGAGTTTTTGCTTCTCGCCATTTTGGCCTCCGGCTCCAACAGAAGATTCAACGGCACTTCAGAGAAATGGTTTTGTTGGATTTCAGACGCCAAGAATGCCTTCCTCCAGGGACAACAAGCGACTGAGGAAAGGAACAATCAGCCGCTTTATATGCAGCCTCCTGAGGATCCTTTGGTGAAGCAGTCTGGCTGCTTCGCAGCCAAGCTCTACCTGGTGACAGGAAACTGCTACGGGCTTGCTAACGCACCTCGCGTTTGGTACAAGCATGTTTGTTCAGTGCTGCACAAACACGACTTCAAGATGCACGACCTGGACCGTTGCTTGTTTTACCACACCTCACTGCACTCAGGTGAGGAAAAGATAGACTGTGCGCTGATCGTCCATGTGGACGATTTTTTGGCAGTTTACTCCGAAAGCTTCAAGTTGGAAGCCCTTGAGAAATGCTGGAATGGGGCAGTGTGACCAAGCTTGACGGCAGCAACAAGGGCACCTACAGAGGCAAGGAGATCACCCTCTATGAAGAGCAGAACGAATGGAAGGTGAAAGTGACACAGCAAGAGTTCTGCAAAACGATGGAGCCACCTCGACCTGTTCCTGGCAAGATGGACCAGAAGCTCACGGTTGAAGGCTGGAAAGAATTCCGGTCGATGGCTGGATGTTTGCAATGGGTTGCTTCGCAAAGCCGCCCGGAGCTTGCTGCTGTGACAAGCCTCTCGAACAAGGGAGGCGAAACATGTTTCAGAGATCTCAAGAACTTAGGTGAAGCTTTGCAGTTCACTATGGCCACCATGGACTCCGGCATAGTGCTGCCTGGCATCCACCTGAACAAGAACACCATAGTGCTGGTGTACGCAGACTCCGCATGGGCAAATGCCCTCAACTTCAGCAGCCAATATGGCGTCTTGGTGACGCTGTGCCCTCCTGAGGTCACTGAGACCGTGACCCCTTGTGTTTTGACCGACTGGAAGTCGGGTCGCAGCCCTAGGGTGTGTAGATCCACTTTGGCTTCAGAAGCCGTGGCAGCTGATGAAGGCACCGATAGAGGATGCCATGTGAATGCTTGCTTGAGCGAGCTTTTGTACTTGCAGCCAGCTCATAAATTGGGCTGCAGAATGCCACAGAAGCAGATTTCCGACTGCAAAAGTCTTTATGACTGTGTGGTCAGTGAGAACCCTTCGGTCAGCGACCGAAGAAGCCTGCTCCAAATCAGGAGCGTACAGCAGTCGATAGCACCCGCTGACATGCATTGGGTGCCGACTGAAAAGATGCATGCCGACGGCTTGACGAAAGAAGACAAGCGGTTGAGAGACAACCTACAAGCTTGGCTTCAAAGCCCATGGTCGCAGTTGCGGGAGGCTGGTGCTTCGAAAACAAAGACCAGTGAAATTCACGAGCTTCATGACACGTGACGGACCCCCTCGCACCAGCTTCTCCATTCTGTGGCCCCTTACTCCCAAGTTGGCCACTGAGCCTTACGCTTTGTTTCGCCCTCAGAAAAGCGCGCGCGATGGGCATGGCTGTGTTTTAGGTCGATCGAGCCGACCGCACAAATCGAGAAGTTGCTACCGCACGAACTTTGTCGTGAGCAAGAAGATGGGCCAGCATGCCAGCAGTTGCCGACGTTATGCTTTTGCCTTCAAGGGTTCAAAGGGGTTGTTGTAAGCAATTCTGAGAACAGCAAAGATTCTTTGCTTCAAGCCTCGCAAGATTCAGTTTCCCAATGTGTCAAAGACATTCAAAGACCATAGGTCATAGGTCCAAAGATACAACAGTCAGATATCAATTTCACTTTGTACCCAGCCGGATATTTCTGAAGCATTGCCTCAATTGCCTCGCAGCGTGCCTGAAGCTTTGCCTCCCACAGAGTTTGTGCTGGAAGAGTTTGCTGAAAGGATACTGAAACCCGATGAGAAAGTCGAGGACCGCCATGCTGGGGTGAACCGACGGCGGCCTTCGCCAGCTAAGCGAAGAGGTGGCTAGGAAGTTCGTGAGTCGGCGTTCGCGAGACGCGGAGCGAGACACGGAGAGAGACGCGGAGCGGTCGGTTTGGGATGTGAAGGGAACATGACGAAGGGAAAGTGACGAAGCCTACAGTCCCAACTCACACACTGTGCTAAAGGTGTGGATTCCAAGAGGTCACTAGCCAGGATGTGTTGACAAAGAGCAGAAATGCTTGCGTTTTTGGAGATACCTGGAGGATCAGTACGAATTGCAGAAATGCCTCCACGATGTCGGCAGCCAGAGCCTGACGCTGCTTTCAAGCTGTGTAGATATGTGCAGATATGTTCCAGAGTCTGATTTGTTTAGAGATTGAAGGCTTGGGAAGGTGCTTTTGAGCCAGGCAGTCCAACATTTTCAGAACCCTCAACCATGATTATTCAGCTCAAGATCATTCAAGATCCGTATAGAATATACTTTTGTTTTTATTCTTTTGATTTGCTGAAACCACCAATACCTGTCGTATTTAAACATATTACTAACTCCATTGATGCACGACCTTTTTATAAGTTACTCATTTAGATCATTTCGCATCATTCATTCTCCGTTCGTTCGACCGTGGCAGACCCATAGCTTTCACCGACCTCTGCCCTGCTTCACCACGTGGTCATGGAAGTTCAAAATGCATGTTTTGCTCAAAAAAGAATCCCACACTCGCCAAAAACGATAACGTGACGGTTGTGAGAAAAACGATAATACACTCACCAAATCCTGATGAACTGCAACTCCACAACAAAATTTGACAATCGCTCATGTGGAAACTGAGGTCAGACGCAGGTTTGGAAGGCGATCTACAAGCCGAGCGGTGAGGATGTGCCACCTGGGCCGCAGAATGGGAACAGAGACGATCGAGCAATACGATTTTCTCCATTTTTGGATTGCAAAAGCCTCTGGTTAACCTCACGCCCCCATGAATCTCAAGACCTCTTCATATGTCTTTTGATGAATCAAGAGTCAACATCAGACATCCAATCTGAACATCATCTGGACATTTGTGGATGTGTGTGGTCAAAGTGTGGGGACCTTGATTGATGGCATTTGGGCGCAACCTGAAGGCCAACATGAACGACAAAAGTGTGCACCATGGTCCAGGGGGGTCTGGGTTTTGATCCACAATGTTTTGAACCCAGCATAGGATTGAAGGGGAGTCAGACGGAGCCCGAAGAACCAACCTGAATCAACATGACTTGGCGCAGACGAAGTCCATGGTGACTGGGGATTCTTTCTGTTCAGACCCTTTGGAGCCAATTCGTGTTGCTGACTTTGGTGATCGCTGTCGCATGCAGCTTTAAGCTCAACACCGAGATTCGGCCCAGGATTGTCAAGATGCGTGCCAGGCAAGTTGTGTCCGGAATGGTCGGGGCTTTGAAGGAGGAACACGTGGTCAGATGAATGGCCAAGAAAGGATTTTGAAGAACTAATTACTAATTTCGATGGTTTGTCAGTCCGATGAAAAATCCATGCATGTCTGATGAATTCGAGCCATTTCGACGTGACATGAGAGAACATGCAGCGTAACATGCACCAGCATGGCCAGGAACTTTGCCGTGGGCGGGGAGACTGTGGGGGCCCTTGAACAGTAAAGTTTGGCTGCGAGTTTGGGAGGCAGTTCTGGATGATCTCCAGGCGGTCCGGGGTCCGTGGTGATTCTCTTTTTCTTTCGCCGAGGTGTGGCAGTCCCTGTTGACGCGGATGCTGAACCTGGAGGGTCACCATAACGTCTTGGGATTGAAAGAAGTCAGAGGCCCCAGGATCTGTCTTCAGTGGTTGGAGTGATGCTGAGTGGCGCTGGTGATGTGTTGGGCATTTGCTGCATTCGCCTTGTGTTTTCCAACATTTGCGGATCCTAGCCCGATACAATTCAGGTCATTCAGGACGAGAGGAACTACTACATTGTAATGGTCGCCCTGACTTTACTTTCTGCATCTTTTTGCATGAGTTATATGTTTTGTGGTGGAACATGATTTTTTTCCTACCATTGACTCAGTTTTTGTTATTTTTTTTGCACATATGGCTAATATATAGCCGCTAGCCAGCCGTTGCCTTTACACATTGACTCAGCTAGAGCATTTGGGACATGTTTCCACTCAAACAAGCCCGCCATTCCACTCAAGCAAACCTCCCAAAGCTTCCCTTTTCGCAGTGGTTGTTTAGAGCTGCAGGACGATCTGACCACCCCAAAACTGCCGACCTGAACCCATATATACGCCTCTATCCTCTACTCCAAACAAACACTTGCTTCATTCTTTGCCATTCTTTGTGCATGATACACTAATACACACGGTGTTTTCGCCAGACCCGCTGTAGCGGCGGAGAGCTCTTCGACTTCCTCCAGACTGAAACGGACCGAGCGAAACTGTGGGCGTGGGGTGGCACTACCAGCAGATCATACACCTTGCAGACAGCAAGGTACTATTCCACCTGTTTCCAACCCCTTTTGGCCTCATCAATGTGACCTTGGCTAACAACAGGAATATCTGAAGGCCACCGTGGTTCGTCAGTCTAGAGCAGTCGATCTATGTCCTGTTCCAATTGACACCTCCGGCTTCCGCACGCACTCTCGGATTGACCAATCCGATCGCTCGATCGATGCAGGATGTCCCAGAGCGGGAGTGTAAGCGGATCATGCGAGAGATCCTAGAAGCGGTGGACCACATCCATTCCAGGCTCCATCGTTTCGGTCACGGCCAATGACCGTTATTTCTGAAAGCGAAGCGTACCACCAAGCTGCGCTTTGCTTCATGACCCTTTAAAGAGAGACGTCAGACACGGGGCAAGGGGTGACGTCCGATGTGGGTGGAGCCAAGGGGGTTCGATTCGCCACATGGGCCCCCCCCCCACAGCAGTCGCCACATGCCGCGACTCATCGAAAGATGAGGAAAAACAGAAGAAAACTCTGGAAAGGGGATGGGTCAAGAGGTGCGACTGTTCAGACTGATCTGTTTCGGGGCGCTTCTTTGCTTCAGATTTTCAGTGTTCGGTTGCGCCTGGGGAGTGAAAAAAGAGTTGCGGACCTCTGCAGGGGCTTGATCCACCGCGACATCAAGCCAGTGCCTGAGTGGACCCAGTTGGAGAAGCAGATGCGGCGCACGGTCACATGGTGTCAAGTTGTCAAGTCACTACGCCACAAAGCTTACAGTACTCAAAGACACTCAAAGACTACTACCAAATGGAAAGGCGTCTCTTCAAAGGTTCTTGAGCTTTTGCTAGGCCGGAGAACATCATGTTTCACGACACTTCCAACGAGCCGAACTCTCCGAAGACGCCGGCGAGCAAGAAGCCGGGGGCCCAGTGGTGAATGTGAGCCCTGGAATCTGATGGATGTCCCAACACCGAAGACATAGGGCGTTTTATGGCGTTTTCGCGGTCGCTGGTCACGCTCAGGGCCGTGAAGCTGATTGACTTCGACACCTGCTTAGAGTGCGCTGGAAGCCTTTTTTCCATGTGCAAGGTCGGGGAAGAGATTGCTTTGTCCAAGAATGTCCTAGATATCATTGGCAACTTTGTTTGGAACCTTTTTCTGAATTCTATTTTGATGCCTTGGGGCAGGGGACTTCGCAGCCTTTGCCAGATTCACCCGACGTTTTGAACCAATTCACAGGCACAGTTGGATGAAAGTAATTCCCTTCTTGACAAAAGTATAGTATTAGCAGACCCACAGTTTCAACCGCACTAAAAGCTGTTTTCCCTCCAACCCGTAGCCTACCGCCCCCCGGCGGTTTCGGTGTTTCGAGGTACGAGCCGAAATCTCCACGGGCCAAACACGTCGTGGGCACCCTGGGCCGTGCACCGAGACAGAGGGCCATCTGATGGGCGTCGTCGCAAGAAGCAGCTTCTTGTCACTAGTAGTAAGGCACTTGTTACTAGAAGCGATGCACTTGTTCCTAGTAGCTTCTTGCTCCTAGTAGTAAGGCCCTTTGTTCCCTAGGTCGGGGAGTTTTCCAATGAGATCAGGTATTTGATTGACTGAGACTGAGAGACCTAGAGGAAGTTATGGCAGACATCTGGAGTCTGCTGAGATATCTTCAAGGTTTCATCTGTCAAGGGGAGGTGGTTTAGAGATTGAGTTCTAGTTGAGTTCGAGCATCCCTTCTCGCATTGAACTGTAGGGATAAGAACAAAGAAGGAGAGTGGTTGTGCCTACTCTTGGGACAGACCAGCAGAGGGGGCTCTTTTGGATCGACCGGCGATGCTGGCATTTTCAGGCTCCTGCCAGGCTCCTCCTCCCCCAAAAAAACGGAATCTCAAGATCTTGGTTCTCGAAGCAACGAGCTCATTCGCGCCGAAAAAAAGGGATCCACCCTGACCCGATCCTTCGCGCCGAGGCTACTTGGCCCCGGAGGCGTTGCAAGGCGACTATTCGCCCGCGCGCGGGAGCCGAGCGGTTCGACAGGCACCGAGCGGTTCATGGCCGTTCGAGTCTTTTCGAGGCGTTTGAGGTGCAAGAGAAGGCCAAGCATGCAAGCATGGACACCACTTCACATGGAAAACACCGACCAAAAACACCCTCACCGACCCAAAGCGACCACACCAAAGACACCCTTCACCGACCGCTGGAGTCACGGTGCCACTCCACGCACACCTTGGCGCACCACTTGCGTCACCGAACCGGGTCACCCCGCGCAGCCACCGGAACCGGAACCGGGACCGAGGTCCGACTTATGGAGCGTGGGAGTGATCCTGTGCGCCGGAAGAGTACGAGGGTTACGAGGGTTACGAGGGTTACGAGGACAGCCGAGAGGTTTTCTATTTTCCCCTTTTGGGCGGGTCCGACCATCTATGCCATGAAACATGAATAGATATGAATAGACATGAATAGACCCACAACCGTATCGCCGTATCGTGTTGTGTGTGGTGTGAAGACGTGGAAGACGCAGAAGGCGAACATATTGGGGGATCTTGGGTGTATTCGCCATGTTTCAGGGTGGACGAATTGAGCGAATTCAAGATTCCAGCAGCGAAGTCTTGGATGTGCTTGCTAAAAGGCTCTGGGGGGACTTCTTGTTGTTTTTTCCTTGTCTTTTTGTACGATCGCTCCAAGGATTGCCAAGGATTGTCAAGGATGTTTTGGCTCAAAATTGACCAAGTGCGAAGTTCTCCGGCGTTTTCGGGGCCATCGATCTGCAGCGACCTGCAAGGTACATACTGATGACCGGGGACATGCCCTTTGATCAGGACTGCTATCGCTCTGTTATCAGCTGCACTGTGGCTGCTTTGTGGCTTTGCATGGATTCTGCTGTTCCTTCGTACGAGCTACCTCTCACCTCGTGGCGATACCACGAAGATGGGTCCCTATAACCGTGGCGATACCTGTCAGGACGTGTTTGGAGAGCAGCTGCGGGATACCCGTCTGGGAGCTTAGGGTTTGGAGATACCTGTCTGGGAGGTGTCTGATTGGCCTGGCCTCGCAGGCCTGGCCTCCTACAGCTCTTTTGGAGCCCGCTACAATGGGAGGTGTCGGAGTTCTGGGTTCGGGTGCTCAATGAGTTCTTCTTTCAGCGCTTTCAAGGAAGGCAACACCTGGAGGAAGTGAGGCCCCCGGGGGCGAAGGCGCCGTGGTCTCGACCGCCTCTGTCTGGGGGAAAACGGCGACGATTCGCCCCATCTGGACGCTGAATCCTGGTGACTGAGCTGATGAAGCCGGGTCACCTTCTGGGGATCCAGCCAATCCTTCTTGTGACAAGGAGGGTGATGACTCACCCATAGACCCAAAGACCTGAACGAACAACCACGAATCAACGGGATTCAACAAATGGACAAGCCCTTGACCTGGTAAAGAGCCACGAAAACACCAGCCACTTCGAAGAGCAGCCTGTTGCTTCAACTGAGGTTGTGGCAGTGCAACGATGAACTCCATCTACTACAAACTGCAGCATGTCACGGCCCCTGGCTTTTCACATCGCCATTCGCAGGGAACTGACACTTGGGTGTCCTTCTTTCGAGGTCTCTTTGCAAGAGGTGCAGAGGTCAAGGACCCAAGACCTGCCGATTGAGAGATGCCGCCACTGTCCCGCAGCACTGGAGGTGTTCAAAATGCACGCAGATTTGCCACGAAAGCGTTAGATTTCCAAAGTGGTGCTTTGGTGCTACTTGTGTGCAGGACAAGTGTTCCAATGAGGTGATCGGAATTTGCTGTGCATATCAGCTCTGACCCGTCATTGACGTGCAACCATGAACCTGCATAGCCATTGAATCGCACACTCTTTTTGAACAACTGATAGTAGCCCAGCTCCACCTTCCAGATCCAAGCCACCTCCTTTCGCTTCAAGACGTCTTCGCACCGACAAAGCAATTTCATAGCTCACCACAGTCACCGAACATTTCCACAGTCAGCCCCACGGTATCTGACAGAGTTTTCGGCCAATTGAGCACCGGTGCTTGTGCCATGGAGAGCGAATTGGAGTGGATCCGTGAAGAGGAGGAGCTGGTTTGATCTGGCACTTTGGATGGCTCGGTATGTTGCCCGCATGTGCATGATTGCATGAACATAGTTTATTGTATGATAGGGTTGGGCTAAGAAGATGTTGGAAACCATTGGAAAACACGGTAGATGAAACAGGGACGGGATGACCTCTCCTAGAAGATCACCGTGGGCCCGGCCCCTCTTCGCGCGACTGGTCCAGGAGCCCCTCATCGAGGAGATGCGACAACTCCTGGGGCCCCTGGAGGAACTCCCCGAGGCGAAGTGGCGGTGAGGAGACGACGGGAACAGCACGGTGACGTGCTGTGCATGCCTTTCACAGGCATTCTTTTCTTTTTCTTCCCCAACAGATGGACTGGGAAAGAATGGCTTCGTGATGCACCGGATCCCATTCCGACATGAGATGCCAAGAGGAACGAACGAGGTCGATCTGCTCATCTCCTGAGGTCACACCCTGTTTGTGTGGCCATTTCAGCGCTCGCGACACGAGGGCAATCGAAGTCGACCGCACCGAGGACTTGGTGGATGATCTCTGCTTCTGCCGTTTCCTCCGAGGCGCCTCGGGACCGAGGTTTGGATCCAAAGCCTCGGTGTTGCGACGAACTCCAGCAGTTTTCTTTTCTGCTTCTTTTGGAGGGTTCCGACGCATTCGTCCACGCAACGGGTCTGAGAGGATCTCCGGTTCCGCACCACATACTCGAGGCCATGGGAACAACCCCAAGGAGGCAGCGCAGTACATGGGGAAGGCGCCCGGAACGCAGAGTTTGGATGATGGGCCGGTCGAAAAGCCGCACGAACGTCACGACTTGCGCAGAAAGGTTTGACAACAAATACCGTTCGACACTTTACATAGACGGTTATACAAGACATTGCAAGGTGATACGTTCGATGAACAACAGTCAGAAGAGGCGGAAGCCGTTCAACGGTTTGGACCTCGTTCAAGATTCATCCAAAAGCCACTCACACTGAGCCACACTGTATCCCTTTGTCGTTAAGCTGATCAGTTTGAGGTCCTCGAAAGGTGGTTAGGTGGTTAGACCCGAGGGGTTAGAGTTAAAGTGGTTTGAAGTATTATGTTTTACTCGTACCTCTGAAAAGAGTCCCAAGATATCCGATATCCCAAGATGAAAATATATAAATACTAAATAGTTCTTGGCCAATCTCAGCAGAGGTGTCTCCACCGAGGAGGGTGGTCGAATTCAAAGAAACCAGCCATGGGCGGTTCAACCACGTCACCCTCGCCCAGGCCATCGACTACCGGCACCTGGGCCGACATTCGGGTTTGATCGACCGTTGGTGGAGGACGAACGCGGAGGGACTTGGTTTCGCACAGATCGATCAAATGTGACAGTAATATGACAGTATTGGATCCATCTACCCGATCTTGAAAGACACGTTCAATCATGTTCAACACGAGGTTGATGGATTCTCACAGGTTTTCACATCAACATGGATACATTTCTTCAAAGCTGATCAAGCTGGGTATCATAGAGCTTTTATGGGTGGTTTTGCACCCGGGCTTCCAAGAATGCTTTTGGAGCTCGTGGCTCTTTGTCACTTTCCAGGCTGGAGTTGATTAGCAGATCGCCCATCAAGGAGCTGCCTGCTGGTTCTGTGTGCGGGTTTGCCGGAGCCATTTGCGCATGACCAAATGATCACCAGAAACAGTTTGAACGTCGCTCAGTTGGATCTCCCGTCAGATAGGCCCACTGGGTCAACTCATCCGATGTTGGATCATGTTGGATCTTGATTTATGCCAAGATTCCCAAGATTCGAGGTGTTCCAAGATGTCCTCTCATTGGAGTCAACGAAACTCTGTGGCAACACGAGATGGTTTCTAGCGGTTGCAGAGGGCCTCATTGCGGGTCTCCACACCCTTGCATTGGAAATGCCATGGACTTGTTTTCTCTAGGGGAAACGTTCTTTCGCGTATCAAACATGCACAGAATGGGCGGGGGCCCGAGACGAGGTCTACCAGTAACATCACTGACAGACAATCATCTACCGGAATTCAGTTCGGGTCGTGGGAGACTGGCGCCCAGTGGTGCGGGCTTCAGACCTGCGACCTCAAACGCAGGAAGTCAGAGAGGAAGTCCTCAACGCCACAGAGATGGATCTCAATGTCCTGCCCAGAGCAAACGAACTGCCCCATGGCATGCCATGGCTGAACGGAAAGATCATGTGCTTTTTTCACTTCACCTCCCTTTCCGTTTCAACTCATTCCGTCTCAGGTCAGCAGGTATTTGATCTGACCAGGTTCCGCTAGAGGCAACGATCTTTTTTTCTTTTTTTCCGAGAGCTTACCTAGAGATGTCCAAACCATGCAAACAATCAACAATTCAAGGCCTTTGCATATTTTCGATCCACTCGCTTGGAGTTACCTGCTGGGAAGATTTGACTGAAACATATGGTATCGGAACTTTATATAATATTCAGTCAAGTCTGGTCTATGTCTAACACATAAAAATGTATTAGTCAGTCAGTTAGTCTTTGTTTTATTTTTATGTGGTTTAGCCAGTCTAAGGTTTGGATTGCTTTAGCCTATGTTGGTTTATAATTTGCATTTGTATAAGATAAGTTCTTTCCCAATGAATGGCTGCGGGAGACCCTATTGGGCACCACTATTGAGCCATACTCAGACTGCTAAAGCAAACATCGCTACCTTTTGATTGGCCACCTGTCCGTCGGTCGCTCATCCAACGTTGCCAAGGCTGCCATGCTTCCCAGTTAGAGTCATCAACGGGCGCTCCATGAATGCCTTGCCCATCATTGCCTCCGTGGTGCCTCGCCATCTGATTTTGGGACAGATCACGGACCCAGACCAACCACACAGCGGACGGCTGCAGGCCTTGGGGTCTATTTTGGCTTGGAGCATTACCGTGAAGAACTATAGTGACTACATTCCCATCCCAACATGAACCTCTTAGGACCACTTGTGTCCTTGAGCCAGTGACTCACCGTTTCCCGCGCGCACGGCTCGGCTCCCGTCGGCTCCGCTCCGCGGTCGTGAGGTTCGCCGGGTGGATTTCGAGACGTTGGAGAGAGCCCCTGGGCGAGCACCAACTGGTGGGAACCGGGAACCGGAGAGTCACCAGCCGAGCAAGTCAGGTCCTTTTTTGAGGGGGGGTGCCAGAAGAGCGCCTCCTGCGAGAGCTCGAGGTTTTTGGTCAGGTTTGAGGCTCGAAGCGAGAGCCGAAATGAGCATGAAAAGAGTTCCTCACCGGATCCAAGCAATGCTCTTTTGTTTTCGATAGGATCATTCTTCAGAACCAATGGTCCTAATGGTCTGCTCACCTTTACATGCGTTTGTCATTCGTCTCGCTCCGTTCCCGCTCAGTATGGCGACGAAGCTCGACGCTTGGCCGAATTGAGTTCCAACAGCCGAAGAGTTGGGGAGGCCTTTTGAAGTCGATGTTTTGTTGGGGGTCTTTCTGAGGATCTGAGTTTCACCCAGTCAAAGTCCCTAGTTTAGGGGCCATGGAGGACTTTCAGGCCATGTTAGGAAAAAAGAACGCATGTGCAGGCCACACAAAACCCACAGTTTCCCAGGCCGTTCGCCCTTTAGGAGATGACTTCTTGCTATCCCAGCTGGAGCAACGCTGGCTGGTGCTACACAACCTCAGCAAGAAGCAGTGCCCGAAGCGAATCAAGTTGGTGGTGCCTGTGAAGGCGGAGGAAACCTGCGTCAGCTAGGGGGTTCGGGAGTCTGGCACGCCCAAGTTGGCTGGAGAAAGTGTTGGATAGGCTCGCATTTCTTGCTTGGTTGGCTCATTGGTCGCTTCTGGTTTACATCACTGAAAAGAATCGCTGCCGGATACCGTCAAGAGAATAAGCCCACTTGGGTGACCTGGGTGTGTTGACAGCCTATAGTCCAGTTCTGGTACTTGTTCTGAATTACCCAGCTAGGACACATGTTGTCTGTGAGACACCTGCCATGCTCAACCTTTGTGGATGCCCCCGTTGACGTCCGTGCATCGAGGGTACCAATGGGTTCCCCATGCTGGTGCCAAAGCTGTGAGACGCGGGTGATCGTTGATGTCATTTTTTTTGAACCAGGAATACAGGGTGATACACTTTTGCCCACACCCATTGCCCTAGCTTTCGTTCAACACCGTGGGCCTCCCTCTGATGATGATGTGGCCTTTGTGCGTGGGCCATTGGTGCGGGGGATGAACCTTTGCGAAAACAACGATTTTTCTCTGCGCACAGGGTTTTAGACCTGCAATGATTTCAATGGATATTAGCAATACGGATATTTTTTGGGGGGTTTGGCATGGCTTAAAGTTTTGGTCTGAAACTCAACACGTCTACTCCAAGGTTGGGTGAGGGAAAAGAGTTTCGATTCACCTGGCTTCCCTTGACGGATTTGGGTCAAAGTTGTTTTGTTGTTCATGAGACCAGAATTCGGCTGTGAGATCCTGTTGGTCAAAACCCAGAGCCGCAAACTGATCCTAA